TCTAGACAGATCGATCGACAGACAGTCCACGATGGAACCCTACATGATCACCACTACCCAAGTTTCGCTTCTCAAGCCACCAGTAACAAGCAGGATGACTACTCTTTAGCCAGTTGGGCATACAGTGGTTTCCATGAGAGTTTTGCAATAGACACTGCAATCATATCAGATTCATAGGATCACAAAGAGGAACATGATGACGATTATGATGAGGAGTATGCCAGAGAGATCTATGCAATTCTTACATATGATAGAATCGTACAGCCCATAAACAAGACGGAGATCACGAAATCGATCGACACGGACTTACCGAAATCGATCGACACGGACTTACCGAAATCGATCGATACTCTTCCTCATCAGTCAAACCGAAATCAACAATCGACCGACACGCACACATCGATCGATTTCGAGGCCGCCAATTTTAGGAAGAAAGTTTCCAATTCCTACTAGGGCACCTAATGGCTATAAAAGAAGTCTTGCAACCAAGAGGACGTCTACTAACATAGAATCAGATAAGATGCAAGCATCTACAACCTTTTTGAGACAAAGCAAGAGAGGAACCAACTACATAGATCATCATGACAAAGCAAAAAGTGCAACATTCAACCAGCCAAAGATCACCACCTCTCGTCTACCATCGATCGACGCTGCACCTAGCACATCGATCGATTCTAACCCTAAAACTTTTTCTTTAACTATAGATTATTTTATTGATGATTTTCTAAAACCATATGAGTTTGGTGTTATCAGGGATCTAGAAGGTCACGCACGAGCTATGGATGGAAGGATTCTACAAGTTTCCAAAGAAGACATAGCAGAAATCCTTCAGATGGCCAATGGACCATAAAATCTCTTTCAGCAACAACTAGGCATGATGCAATAACCGTCAACCGACACAGTCAAAGCATCATCAATCGACTAGGACCCTCGTCCATCGATTGGTAGGAAGAAACATGTAACGATCGACAGAAGCACATTTTCTGGACCGATTTTGGAGCCATAACTCTACACCAAAGACGAAATCAACGAGATGATTGGTTGCGTGAGATATTGCAAGGAATAATCTGTGGGTAAGCTCAACAACAATCGGGATACGGTCTATGTGATTCTGCAAGGAAGTATCAGTGGATTGACTACGTGCATGAAAGAGATGGAAGCAAAACTAGCTCTTATGAAGACACAACGTGCGACATTGATCGATGCCACTAAGGATGCATCGATCAACCCGAATGAAGAACCAGTAAAAAAAGTGATCTCGACAGGACAGATAGCTACAATGGATAAGGCATATCCGCAAGAATTGACGAAATCTACAACCCTCTCAACAACAACATCAACTGGTTAAGCACGGAGATTCAGTTGATACAGCAGGACTTGGATATGTTCAGCGAAGAGAAGCGTCAACATGACAAAGGAAAATTGATCGACACCGATGCTATGAAATCGATTGACGCTTAGATTTTGTACATCAAGAAACGGATGAAGATCTGCGAAGATGAGCATGATCACTACATGTCCCCGTTTATTCGGTACTTACCCACTTTGGACAGCTGGATGACTGCCTTACAACAAGAAGTTACCACCATTCAGATGCAACTCGATTTCCACCTACCATCCTCAACATCGATTGACACACATAAAGGTAAATCGATCGATGCGAAGAAGCTACCAACGCAGAAATTCTATACTAGAGCAGAAGTTGACAAGATCATTGATAAAATCTACAAGGCTTTGAACACTACTGAGGATAGGCTTGACAAGAGATGCGATGACATATTCTTCCCCTTCAACAACAGCATCAGTGGAGTACACTCAGGTATAGAGTGGCTGCAGAAGGAAGTTAGAATGATTCAAACACGACTCGCATGTAATCCTGAAACTGCAGAATCGATCTACAAGACCAAGGTCAAATCAATCGACGGCACTACACCTGAAACAATCGACACCGCAGCAATTGCAGCGATCGATACTGAGTCTGTACTAGACCAGGAAAAGTTGTTTCATGAAGAGCCAGTCACATCTGATTCAATCAACAAGACATTGTGAGAAATGACAGCGCATGCCTATGATAAAGTTCAATGGCACATCATCAACATTGAGAGTCTTAATGAGAGATTTCAGAACATCTTAGACACAGTTACCAAGATGGCTGAAAGATGGGCCAGAAGGGATGAAGTCACAAGAAGTTTCATGACTACTTGGTTCAGAACCATCAGAGAAGATGTGGATACTTGTTTTCCAACAAGTAGCTGTTTTTGCACACAATAGCTCACCATTCATCAGCAGTCAAGCTAAATGACTATAACAAAGAGCTGAGTGAGAGGCAACCCAATATTAGGTAATTTTTCTTTTGGTTTTCTTATACTTTTTTTGATTCTTTTACCTTTTCCAAATATTGCAAGTTTTTATATATATAAACAAAGATCCAAGAAGAAATAGATGGCCATCTCATCGACCGACAAGACACTGTCGATATCGATCAACGGACAATCACTTGTAATGATCGATGCACTCTCTTACACATCGAGTGATATTTAGGCCGGTTCGGTTTATCGTTCTTTCTTGTTACATTAAGTACTTATGATTTATTTTCTTTCGCCATAACTCCGACTGTTTTACACTGGGGACAGTGTAATTTAAGTCCGGGGGAGGTTTACTGATATTTTATTTGCTATGAGTTTACTGAAAATTGTTTACAAAACAATTTTTACTAAGCTCAAGAAAAGGGATGATGATTTTATTTGATTTATACTTGCCATCTAACCAATTTTTAGTACCATTGTAGATCTAATGATTACAGATACTACTAAAGATGCTAAAGTGGATCAACCAATCAAATATGCACACTTGCTTAGATTGTTTGAAGGAACCAAAGCTGACCTCCAACACTAAACCTGACACAACTGGTTGTCTTGGGGCTTGGTATACATGGGATCGGATTCTTCACACAAGTCTGGAAGGTAAAGCCTTGTGTAGATTTATCACCTTTTCTCTCTTTTCGACCTAGATAGTTAAGTAGATTTATAATTTTATAAAAAAAATAAAATCCGAAAATAGTACTAAGTTTATTAGGTTGTTAATTAGGAGGGATCAGAACATGACTTGGTGGCTACAACAATTAAGGCTTGGTTCATAATGCTTCCAACAAAAGAATTCGAATGGAACTTGGTGGCTACAACCGTTAAGGCTCACTTCATATGATTTTTTGGATATAGGTCAAAAAGAAGTGATTAGGACTTGGTGGCAACCACCATTAAGACTTGTTTCATGGTATCCTGTCCAATCTTGGTCAATAATCATGTCTTAGAAGCATATTTTGACTCAAGAGAGAAATTAGAAGAGAGAAAAGATAGAAACTAACTTTTACTTGCAGTTCCAGATACTTGTTTGAAAATTCTTGCATCATGTGATTGATACTCCCAAGGTAAAGCCTGCACTTTTATTTTATGTTAAGAAATGAGATTAGTTGAGGGGAATGTCAGATAGTATTTGCTAAATTGATGGATAGATGAATTTGTTTGCTAAGCTAGGATATAGATGTGATTAGAAATTTTTAGATGTGGATTGCAATATTATAGAGTGATTTCAAAGTTTTAAATTTGTAAGTCTCTGTTCTTTTCAAACCTCTTTTAGAGAGAGTGCCTGTTTGTTTTGCTTGAGGTCAAGCAAAAGGATAAGTATAGGGGAGTTGATATACCATGATTTTGACTCAGTTTTAGTCATGGTATATTGGTTTTTATAACTATTTATTATATTATAGAAACTTTTAAGCATATTTATAGTTTAAGGAACATTTTGGAAGAAAATAATGTTTTTGGAGCATTTTAGAGAGAATTGGAGAAATTACTCGATTTCGGATTGACCAAGAAGACGAGGTCGACATAGAGTGACTCACATCGATCGATATGCACTCTGCATAATCGATCGATGCCAAAGGCGCAGAAGACCAATTCGCGAGACAGCCGACTTGAAGTCCAAACTTCCCCAAACTACGATTTTATCACTGGCGAGTTTTAACCTAAATTTATATACTTTGTCAAAGTGTTAGAGGCAGAGAGAGCGTTTTTGTATTCTTTTCATAGAAAAAGGTTTTTAGGATTTTTAGTTTGGGAGAGAATATCAACAAAGAGATTTGTGACTGGAACTCCATTGTTTTTTGTCTATCTATAATTATGCAGTTTTACTACATTGCTTGTGTTATGAATTGCTTAGCAATCTCTGAATAATTCACTTGTTAGAATTAGAGTTTAAATGGGTTAGTGAGATTAGTCTCAACTATATGATCGCTTGTTGTGGTATTCATTAATAGGATGTTCTTAATGCTTATGTTCTAGATTTGCTAACTATAAACCTGAATCTAGGATTGTTAGGTTGTTTAAGCCTCCTTAGATAATTCTGATAATCTTGAATACATCATGATTAAGCTAGGATTTTACTAGAAACATGGCTAGAGTTTGATCTAGGGATCCATAGTGAGTACAGATTAACTCGCGCATAAAGCTTGACTAGCCGCATTGATCGATACTCCAATTGGAAATTGATCGACATCGTGCAATGTATATCGATCGATATTCCTAGATAATAATCGATCGACGCTGTTATTGATCGGACATTCTTGTTTAGGTCAATAACACTTTAGTCAATAAACTTATTTAATAAGCGACAGTTTAGTAAATTTGTTATTAGTATAGTTAAGTTTTTTAATACCATGCAAACAACAAATTAGCACATATATGATTATAATTTGTAACACCTGAATAAAAGCTTTAAGTCTAACACCTTTTCATTTAAGTTCACCAAACCCTCATTCCATTATGTCTGACTAATTGTCTTACTCGATTAGAATATTTATTATTTTATGTCTACTTGTTTACTGCGGTTTTACATTAATTCACTTAGTTTTTTTGATTGATTAGATTTAAGTGGTTCATTAGCTACTTGTAGATTTGATCTGTAAGTCCAGCAAAAAATCTCTTATTTGATAGAGTAAGTTGCTCCATAGGATAATTTGAACATGTATCAATGGTTGTTTATAGGTACTCCATTGAACTACCAGTTCTCTGTATGTGTGGTGAGAGGCAAAATTTTCTTCTAGAAGCAAACGATGACAAGTAGAAAGAATCTTCATTTTTTTTTATTCAGTGTCGACAAAGATTAGATTTTGATTACTGGGTGTTGATAAAGTCTGTATCTTTGAGTCTCATCTGCTTCTAGGTATTCGTAAAAGAGACAAAAGATTGAGTTTTCTTGAGGATGATTCAACGGTTGTTTGTAACTACTCTTCAGTTAGCAGAGCTATCAGTGAGCTCCGTTGCTCATACGATGTATGGGAGCTTTACATATTCAGTTCCGCCGTCGCCGGAGAAAAAACATGTCAATGATCTGCCTCGTATTGTTTTAGTCCATGGCATTTTCGGATTTGGAAAAGAAGTAAGCAAAAAGATCTATTCTCTCTTTGATGTTTCTCTTGTTGTCTTTTGGTTGATTGGGTTTTGGTGTATTGGCAGAGATTAGGTGGGTTATCATACTTTGCTGGAGCTGAGAAGAAGGATGAGAGAGTGTTGGTTCCTGATTTGGGTTCTTTGACGAGTGTACACGATAAGTGAAACAAGAAAAAGCTTCAGTCTTTTTTTGTTATGGTAGTATAGTATCAGAGGGTGAATTGCTGATATAAAGGATTGTTTTTTTAACTATTATAGGGCTAGAGAGTTGTTTTATTACTGGAAAGGTGGAAGAGCTGATTACGGGGAAGATCATAGTAAAGCTTGTGGGCATTCTCAGTTTGGTCATTGTTATGAGAAAGATTTAGTCTTTTGTTTTTGTGTTTTTTAGTAGTTTTAGATTCACATTTTATGCTGATGAGTCTTTGCTGTTTTTTTTTTTTTGCTTCAGGGGAGCATCACGAATGGGATGAAGATCATCCTATCACTTTTTGGTCACTCTGCTGGTGCTCAATATGTTCGTGTCTTGCAGCAAATGCTCGCTGACAAGGTATTTTGAATAAAAGACAAGCATGTTTTGGTTTTAGTTGTGTTGTTGAAGTTGATTTGTTTTCTGGTGTTTCAGATATTTGATGGTTACTAAAACAGTAATGAGAATTTGGTTTTGAGTTTAACATAAGAAATGTTTAATTTTTTTTTTAAGAATCTTTAATTAAGAAATTTCTATTGGATCATTTAAAATGAGAGTTTCTTAATTAAAGATTCTTAGTTACATATATTCATTCAAAAGTCATTAAGAAACCCATTAAAGATAATAGGGATAAACATGCTTTAAGTCCCATGAAATGGGGTAGACAGCCCACAAATCATATGTTGGTTGGTACGGGAGTGAGCCTAGTTGGTTGTTGGAACATGATGAGTGGCCCTGCCTAGTAGTTAGCGATCGTTATGTTTTGTGGCTCGCAGACGTTTACATTATTGAGCTCCAGACAAAGACATCACTAAAATTTAAATAATTTTTTTTTCAGAAATATACAGAAAGACTATCAGGTTGATCCAGTATCGTAAGAGCCACTAATTACCGAAACAACACCATCTCATGCTCTGTGGAACTATTCACATTTTATACAAAATTACACTTTCTTATACATTTGGATCAACGACAAATTTTTACGTATCATATAATAACAAATGCACACAATTTGTTTTACCTTGTTCTAATTCAACATATTAGAACTATTAAAACCTATTTCTCCCTCATCTGAATGATCGAACTTCTATCTTTCATAACATATTAAGTATGAACTGAATTTCACACAATCCAATTTACATTGGTTTGCTACTCAAAATTTTAAACATAACCAATGGCTAACCTAATTGTATCCATGCAATCTTATTTTTAAAATTTACAAAAGTTTTATTCAAAGACTGGATCAGATCTTTATTTGGATCTCAGTTTGGGTCGGATTTTAAATTCGGTCCAAAAATACTGATTTAGTAACGGTTTATGTTCAAACTATTAAAACCAAATCAAATTTTCATTTATGGGTATACAAATTTCGATCTGTTTGACCGGAAAGAAATAAGTTTTAACACTTCTAATATGCAAAATAAGGACAAGGATGAAAAATTATGTGTATATATTGCTATATGATATTTAGGACATGCCCACTAGCAAACTTAGGGGGCTCATCCCCAACATAACTTTTGAATTTTTTTTTTCGTTTGTTTTTAAAAAAAATAATAATAATAATAAAGGAACTAATTGCGGGTCGGCACGTGTTGTGAGACTCACGAAATAATGATGAATTCGGTTTTTCCCAACAATCCCCCACGATACAGGTTCACCACTTTTTATCTTGGAAAGTGTGTGATACTCTGTATAAACCCTTTATGAACCTTTAATACAGATGCCATTATGTTGTAAATAGATCGTTTACTCTATATACTTTAGTTGAGGATAATATTAGATAACTAGATTTGTTTTGCATTTTTTATGTTACTCTATATGGAACACTAAATAGATATTTTTAATAGTGCTTAATTATGGAGAATATTACAAAAATGGTTATATAGCCGATAATTTTCTATTTTTTACGCCTAACCGTACTCTCCACACCAAATTAAAGATTTCATGTAAGTTTAATTTTTCTAATATGCAAAATTCATATTCTCTAGAACTCCAAACTTCACCTCATAATATAAAACATTAGCAAATTATTAGTCAAACCATTTGAATAAAAAGGTTTCTACAGCAGTAGTTGTTGCAGTTTTATACTCCCTCCGTTTTATATTAAGTGTCGTTGTAGAGAATTTTTTGTGTTACAAAATAAGTGTCGTTTTCGGTTTTCAATGCAAAATTTATTAATTTTATTATGTAATTTGTTTTTCTATAGGTTAAAATATGGTTAGGTGTGTGGGTAATTGTGTTTTTATATAGGAAATATGTAAAATTAATTGTTTCCTTAATCCGTGTGCATAGCTGTAGAGTGACACTTATATTAAAACAAAGGGAGTAGCAAATAAATATCTATCGTTTTGTAGTTATTTCAAACACCTAACTTTTCCCCAACATATTGAATAACATTTTTTTCTCAACGCATATAGTTACAATTTATTGAGGGTCCCCATTAACGATCCCAATTATGATTGTTTTTATTGACGAAACTGATAAACCTTTAGTAGAAAAGGGTGTTGCGTTTTAGCTCTGCATTTCTTGCTTCACGAGACCAACTAACGATCTCCAAAACTCCAAAAAGGTTGGAACAGTTCCTCAGATTTATCTCTTCTCTATTCTATTTTAATTCTAAATTGAAAGCACACTTCGTTTCCTCTTAAATTCACTGGATCCAAAATCCAAATTTTTTTTTTTGGTCAAACCAAAATCCAATTCTAAGTTTTAAATATTCAACAAAGAATGATTATACCTTAAATTTTCCATAAAGAAAAAGACATCGCTTTCTAGTGAGTAATTGTGTTCCTTAAGACTGTATTGTAAATTAAACTAATTTTGATTAATAATCTCAGATTTTGAAAATGGCTGAAGAAGGTCTATTAGCTTCTCCGGATAAATCATCAGCTACTTCACTTCTGTCTGAAATATCAAATGTCTCCACGAGATCTTTTGTTCTTGCATTCACTGCTTGTTCTTCCGGTGCGTTTTCCTTTGGATGCATTGTGAGTTCCTAAATCAATGCTTTAACTATAAACCTTCGTTATCTTTTGGATTGAAATTGAAAATGAGTTCAAATGCATGTATCATTTGAATTAGCTAATTTAAAAAACTTATCACAGGTTGGATATACGGCTCCCACACAGGCCAGTATCATGAAAGACTTGAATCTATCCATAGCTGATGCAAGTTCAATTTTGTCTGTTTTTTTGTTTATTTCCGGTTATCTGCTTCCTGGTTAAGCTAATTTTCTACCTGTATTTTTATTCAGTATTCACTTTTTGGATCGATATTGACCGTGGGACTAATTCTTGGAGCATTAATCTGTGGGAAATTAACAGATTTGGTTGGTCGTGTCAACGTAAGTTTCCAGTTATGGAAAGTTAGCTCTCACTACAAACTGTATTAAATCATGCATATGATATTCTTTTGTGATTCTCTTCGTGAATCAGACAATGTGGATTACTTACATCCTCGTCATAACTGGCTGGTTCGCCGTTGCATTTGCCAAGGTTCGTTAATTTTTTTAAGTCGTTAAATTATTATAATATCCTTAAAATACTGTGGATTTTGTCTTTGGGGCCTCATATCTTCACAAGCTGAGTTTTCACTATTAGGCCGAGTCGTCTACGAGTTGATAAAGCTCGCTATCAAGCTAGGCTTTATATCACTTAAGTCTAAAGCGCGTGCTGAGTCACCAGTGTCGGCGTAACGACTTCTTCTTCCTATTGTGAGAAATCTGAAACAACCAATGGAATAATGAGAAGAAACTTTCACAAAGAAAGGAGGTTTACTTGAGGTGATTGATCAGAGATCGGAAACGAAGAAACTCCAGTGACATTGCTGCAACGATATCTGATTACTGGAAGTGTATTTCGGACGTAACTTCAACTCGTCTTCGCCGGTGTGATTAGATTGAGCATGTATCATTGTTACCGTAACTCCAGTTTGATTCTAGTGAAAGCTTGGAGATTGTGATCCCTGTCCGGTTAGCAGATCCGCGAACACCGGGTGAAAATTATCTTGTGTCATTCGTTTAAGTTTCTCCTATAACATGCAAACACAAACAAATCGATTATATCAAGTATAAACCTGAACTGAATGTAAGATCAAGCGTAAACAATCAACAAGTGGTATCAGAGCTGTGGTTATTGCTTGAGTCCTGTCAGCAAAGATTGATTGACTCAGATCCGGTGAAGATTGTTTGTTAGAGAAGATCAAGATGGACCCTACACTAGGTCGTTTCAAGATGGAAAAGTTCGATGGAAAATAGGATTTTGGTATGTGGAAGTATAAAATTCTTGGTCAAATTGAGATTTAAGGATTAGCTTCAGTTCTTGAGGAAGGTGCTACGCTTTTCAAGTCATCAGAGAAGCAAGAGGAAGAAGCAGATCCAGTTCTTGATCCATTCAAGTTAGCTAAGGATACTAGAGTCAATAACTCATAGGGAACATGTCTCATTGACATGATTCTGAGGCGTAACATTATTCTGAGGAAGGTGATACATGAACCAACAGCTTATGAGATGTGGAAAGCACTTGAACAAGATTATCAGACTAAGCCAGTGCGTAACATGATATAGCTAAAGCAACAATTAGCGAGTTACAAGATGGAAGAGACTATGAGAACTGAAGAGAACATGGATGGATTCCTAAAGCTAGTTAGTGGTCTATCAAGTCCTGATATAAACATGAAAACCAAGCTATTCAGCTGCTAATAAGTCCACCATCTCAGTATGAAGCACTTGTCCATACTCTGAAGTATGGAACATGCAAAGATATGCTTACCGTAAGAGAGGTTGTTACTTTAGCTTACTACAAGGAGTTTGAGCTGAAGCAGAGAGGGCTTCTAGGTAAGGTGGGCGATCTAATTCTGAAGGTCAGTATGTTGAATCAAGAGGAAGATCTAACAAGATAAAGGAACATAACTACAATAACCGCTCAGGAAAAGGCAGATCCAAGTCAAATTATTACAAGTTTAAGTTTAAACCAAAATATAACAAGGGATCAAAAGACTGTGTTTCATTCGGAAATGATGGTCACTAGAAACACGAGTGTCCACTGAGGTACAATAAGGCACAAGGAACTGGTGATTCTGCTGACACAGTTTCAAAACATAAGCAACCACTAGTCCTAAATGTAAGTACTCATGATTTTAAACAGGAGTTGGTTCTAGATTCCGGGTGTTCTTACCACATTACTCCACAAAGAGATGTTTTGTTTGACTACAAAGACATTTGGTTGTGGAAATGTTCTAATGGCAAACAAAACACAATGTGATGTAAAGGGAATTGGAAAGGGAATCTTGAACTCAGATGGAAAGGAAGTGATACTTACAGAAGTGAGATACATGCCATAGATGAACATGAATCTCATTTCATATGGAATGCTGGAAAAGCCTGGTTGTACTTACAAAGGAGGAGACTTCAGGATCGACTTCTATAAGAGTGAAGAGAGCTAGATTGATAGTAACTATCGAGAAGGTCTTTATTACTTAAAAGGTGTGTCTAGAGAAGAAGTTATATTAGGAAAGATGAATGCAATATGACTGATCTATGGCATTCAAGACTAGGGCACATGACGCTTTAATATAAACATTATGGTCAAGAACGGTTATGTACAGATCAAGGAAGTTGAGGATTTGAAGTTCTGCGAGAGTTGTGTATTAGGGAAGACTCATAAAAAAAGTTTCAAAAAGGAAAATCACACAACCAAAAGGATCCGAGACTACGTTCATTCTGATCTATAGGGTTCTCCATCTACTCCAGAAAGTCTCGGAGGATGCAAGTACTTTGTCAGCTTCATAGAAGATTACTCTAAGAAGGTTTGGGTGTTCTTTTTTAAGACTAATAATGAAACATTTGAAAGGTTCAGAGAAAGGAAATTGGAAGTCGAGAATCAAACCGGGAAGAAGCTCAAGTGTCTAAGAACAAGCAATGGTATAGAGTTCTACAGTTACAAGTTTGATCAGCTATGTAAATACTCATGGGTTAAAAGACACTGCACATGTACTTACACGCCACAACAGAATGGGGTTTCTGAAAGAATAAATTAAACTATTATGGATAAGGTGAGGAGCATGTTGGCTGAAACAGGTTTGGGTTAAAAGTTCTGGGCTGAGGCTATGTCTACAGCAGTCTATCTCATTAATCGGACGCAAGGATCGAGTATTGATTTTGAACTTCGAGAAGAAAGATATTCAGGTGGAAAGGTTGATCTGTCTCATAACAGACGGTTTGGGTGCTCGGCATATGTTCATAAGGTACATGAGAAGACAAGCCCTTAAGATGTAAAAGGAGTGTTTGTTGGTTATCCTTTTGGAGTTAAAGGCTACATGGCTTGAATTCAAGACTAGGGGTAGTGGTCCTCTCTTGAGATGTATTATTGGATGGATATGTTCTAGTCAGAGACAGGAAAAGAAGGAAACATGTTAAGGCACCTTCGAGGGTTGATGATGCAAATCTAGTTGCATACGCTCTAAGTGTTGCAGAAGAACTGAAAGTTGAAGAACCTAAATCTTATGCTGAAGCAATGAAGACTAAAGAAATGAAGATCTAGGATAACGCGGCTAAAGAAAAAAAATTGTTTTTCTAGAAAATAACAGAAGGATCTGATTAAGAAACCTAAGGATCATAAAACGGTTGGTTGTAGATGAATATTTAAGCTAAAACCAAGCATTCCAAGAGTGGAAAACAAAAGGTTTAAAGGAAGGGTTGTAGCTAAAGGGTATTATCAGAAGGAAGGAATAGACTACAATGAAATTTTCTCACTAATGGTTAAGCATGTCTATATTCGTCTTATCTTATCACTGGTGGTGAATTTCAATTTTAAACTAGAGAAAATGGATGTCAAAACATCTTTTCTACATGGCGATCTAGATGAAATGATTCTTTGGAACAACCTGAGGGTTTTAAATGTCAAGACATCTTTTGTACATGGGGATCTAGATGAGATGAGAACAAGGTTTTCCTACTGAGGAAGTCTATATATGTTCTTAAGCAGTCTCCAAGATAGTGGAACCTAATGATGGATATATAAAGAAACATAAATTCATCAGAAGCAATTTTGATCCATGTGTTTACATGAAACACGTCAACTCTGAGAAGGCTATCTACTTACTACTTTATGTTGACGATATGCCTATATCATTTGGGAACAAGTCTGCGATCAAAGCTTTAAGGGATAACTTAGGTGGAAAGTTTAAAATGAAAGATTTAGGAAGAGCATCAAGGATAGAATGGATATTACTCCAGACATAGAGAAGGGATCTTGGTTTTGTCCCCAGCCAAGTCTCTGGAAAAGGTTTTGAAGATATTTTAAATGCTCAAAACAAGATCAGTGGTTACACCTATGGCTTCTCACTTCAAGTTGAAGAGTCTAAATCCAAAGGAAATGACAAAGGCGTACGAGCATATGAAAGATGTTCCATATGCAAGTGCAGTTGGAAGCTTGAGTACGCCATGTTTCGATCAAGGCCAGACTTTGGGTTTACTGTTGGATCGATAAGAAGGTTGATGTCGTATCCAAGAAGAGAGCAATGGGAAGCTGTGAAATGGGTTTTGAGGTATGTAGCAGGAGCTTACAACTGGTGTTTGACCTTCATGAGAAATTTAGAGTTTATGATTGAGAGTTTTTCTGATTCAGACTATGCTATAGATCTTGACAAGAAGAGATCAATATCTGAAATTGTCTTTCAAGTCAAAGGGATTAATGTATCATGGAAGTCATGACTATAGTCAGTGGTGGCATTATCCACCACCGAAGCAGATTCCATGGCTATGATCTTATCGGTTAAAGAAGCTATTTGGCTAAACTGGTTCGTTTCAAAACTAGGCTACAAGCAAGACAATATAAGGATACATTGTGGTTCACATAGTGCAATTTCTCTATCTAAATACACAGTACATCACGAAATAACTAAGAATTTGGACACACAATTCAATTTCATCAGAGACATTTTTATTAAACGGTTCGTCAACCTAGCAAAGATTCAGCAGACTTTCCTAACTAAGTGCATACCTGGTACTAAGTTTCAGCTCTGCTGTGATTTGCTGAATGTGTGCTAGAATCACAAGGAAGCTCCAGGTGACTCCAAAATATCTCGCAATACAGAAACAAAAGATATGGGTTAGTTTCTTGTTACAAAAAAATATATTTGAAAGCGAGAAGAAGTTACCTGGTGAGAAGGCATGGTCAGTGTGATCTCGAGGTTAAAAGTCTTAGGTAGAGTCGTCGGCAAACGGTTCCGGTTTGAAATACTATCTCAGGTGGAGTATCTAATGAAGTATGAAGGACTTTCGTGGTTATTGGAAGATAGAGTGGATCAATGATTGATCCTAATGGTCAGATATGCAATCTCTATTAAGATATGGGGTTACTGATGTATATAAGAGTTGTAGAAGGCTTAAGTAAGACATGCATGTACAGAAAAGCAAGATCTGAGCAAGATCAGTACATGAGGATGACATGAAAACTTGTTGAAGCGGTTGAGTTCCGTGGTTACAAGGAGCTCT